TGCAAACGACCAACTGAGACAAACAAGCAAGCACCCTCAGGAAACAATCGGGAAAGAGTGAAGAAACCTTATCGCACACATGTTGTTGCATGTAGAAAGATCCGCAAACACGTTCTCTTTTGCATCTGCGGAAAAAAATGGTTTCGGCTTTGCATGCTAGACCCTTGGGAAATAATCCTGCACACACCGCCTTGTAGGCGCATTCATTCCATGGTCCGGAACAAAGAGAAAACGAGAAGACTCTGGAGAGGGTACCCGGTTAACTCAATCAGGATCGGCCACGTTCTTGAATGCCACGGGCCACCAAGCGTAATGCAGTAATTAGTGCCTTCTCTTATGTACTGCAGCTTCGATTGCATGTCGGATTCGGCGAGCTGTGCAGAATGTAGTGCCAGGGCGTGGCCCTCTGTTGGGTGTCTGGCGCATAGCGACTATGTCTGGGGGGGCTGTTTGAAGCAAACACTGATGCATGACGAACATTCTTCCATTGATGTTTGAGCTGGTCTTGCCATTCTTTTCACAAAAGTCACAACAAGCATCTAAGAGACTCAAGGAAACGACAGACAAACAATAATGACATCATCTTACGGTGCCCCTTTTGGCGTGTATAAGGATCTTTAAAACAAGGTCTCCCGGCACTTGCAGGTGTGGGCTGGTTTGCCTGCCCCTCACGAAATGCAATTGCGCAATGTAGAGAGCACTTGGAATTGGGTCTGGTTGGCTCAGCAAGGTCCAGACAGGATTTGGAAACTTGTGGCTAGAACGAATCCATGTCTGGAGCTGTCTGTTTTAAGCAAGATTCCCCTTCACAACCCGGCGACGATTCATACTTCGACTTTGGAGGCCCATCATGTGTTTTGGCGGGATACCAGAAAAGCATTGATGAACTTTCATCCCTCAACATCTGGGCAGGCCCTATCGTTCTTAGCACAAGTGCAAACGACCAACCGAGACAAACAAGCAAGCACCCTCAGGAAACAATCGGGAAAGAGTGAAGAAACCTTATCGCACACATGTTGTTGCATGTAGAAAGATCCGCAAACACATTCTCTTTTGCATCTGCGGAAAAAAATGGTTTCGGCTTTGCATGCTAGACCCTTGGGAAATAATCCTGCACACACCGCCTTGTAGGCGCATTCATTCCATGGTCCGGAACAAAGGGAAGACTCTGGAGAGGGTCTGGTTGTCTGGCGGGTCAGCAAGGTTGTTTGAATCCTGAAAAAAGCATGAGAGGCAGGGATGCCTTCTATCCCCACAAACGTGGTACAACGGGTGCAGATCATTTCCAAAGTGGAGGGGTTGTCACCGTTAAGAGCGGAGCATCTACTTGTGGTGCTAGCGATTTAGCCACTGCAACATGATGTGTCGACTTTGGACAGGGTCTCTTTTGGGCTCAAAGAGGCTCCCACGTTTCCCACGTTTATGAAGTTGACAATAATATTATGTCATGCCATATGACACCCAGTATGGGATTTTGTAATCTGATGTCTTTCCACCCTTTGGGCCATATGTTCAATGTCTAGCGGTTCCAAAGATTTTGCCTTCAGTTCCATCGACGTCAACAAGTCCAGTAGTCACAGCTGCGAAGACTGGCTCGAATTGAAGTCACAGAGGAAAATGATGAAAGTGTATCTCAAGGTGGGATTCTATTCTTTTTGCAGCCTGATAGCCGGATGCTCTGAGTGCCGCACACGAAACTCAGCAAGGCAATGAAAACTAAATTAATCAGCGAAAGCAGGAAATGATCTCAGATAAGAGGAAGGCATATCCATGGACCGACAGGACTCACTGGGAGCTCTACCAGAGGATGTGACACCCACCAACTCAGGTCTGGTTAAAAATGGAACCCACCTGAAACTGGATTCTGTGCCCTCCAAGGAGTTCTGCAAACGGAGCCACCATGGAACAAGATGTGCCAACTTGGACTTCTGGATCCCCTGCCTATCAATGCCAGGTTGCCACCTTGGCACCCGACAAATATTTGCAACTTATCAAAGCATGGAGCAAACCTGTTTTTGCGCAAAACTAGGGCACAAACTCAAACTCCAAAGGTCTAAAACTTCATTTTCATTCTCCCCCAATTAAACACTTGGTTTTCCCCATTAAAACGTATTAAACCCCGAGTTACCGGCGGTTTGTCAAACCCCGCAGTCTTGGACAAAGCCATTGTGGCAGACTGCTGGACCATGATGATTAACATTGACTAAGCAATTCAATCAATATCAAATTTCGGCCACTCATTTTCAAACAGATCCAGATGCATTCACACAGCTGTCTGATGTCACAGCTACCAACTCAATCCTGTCTGGTCAAACATGTAACTGAAGCAAAGTCAAGGTGAGTTCTACCAGCAGGGCACTTGTGACGTCAATTCGATCTCGAAAGGATTCCCTGCGTTGAAATTTTTGAACTGAACCCACTACTGTACTTGATTTAGTTGCCACCATGGATCACCAGGGGCCTGGTTTTGAGAAGCACGAGCTCGTCTGGGATGGAAGTGATTTGGCACGTAGCATCTCAAGAGTTGATTTTGACCAGGCGCACAAACATAAACGTCTGTCGCATCAACTCAAGCAGGTCTGGTGGAAAATGGAACGCAACTGAATTCTGATTATGCAATCCCCAAAGCAAAGATTCCTGCAAGCGAGGGACTATAGCAACCTAAGCCGAAACATGTCAATTTATATATAATGGAGGATTCCCTTGCTTGGCGGACTGGTGCTACTCTACTTGTGTTTTCAGCAGCGGCTCTGCTTTGCAAGTTGTCAAAGTTGAGCAAACTTCCGAAGGATGCCCAGAGAGGGTTTCTCTTTTTGATGACGGTGCTACTAGCGGAACTTTTTGGCTAGCGACTGCTAGTGAGCACAAAGCCTGAGAAGACCTGCCATGGAACAAAGATCTCATCAATGCACCTAGTGGTGGAAGGAGCTTTGCAGAGCGCCTCGCTTTTGTGTGCTTGGTACGGCTCGAGTTGAGACACAAAAGGTTGTGGGCCAAAATGATCAAAATTGTTTCTCTGCTAAAGACATCTAATTTCCAAACGGGTCAATCTCTTCAACCCTACATTCCTGTTTAGGGAAATATCTGCATGCCCTGGTACTGGTATCTTGCCGTCTCTCTTTGAGTTTCCAGCGACACAAACAAGTCTACTAGTCACAGCTGGAGCAAAGGTGAAGGGGCAAATACTCTTCACTGATCACGTAAAGTTGTAGATCTCAATATGGGATATATATATATAAATAATGCAATATAATATTATATAATTACAAATGATCAAACATGCAAATGCAGCCGTCCAATGTGACACTTCGCAACGCATGTCGAGTGAGAATAAATATCCGAAACTTGGTTGCCAAGTCCGGAGGCAATGAATTTGTTACAGCGGTTGCAGGTAAAAGCATGAAGCAAGCCAGCTATTCTGTCAAATTGCGGGCAGTAAAGTTCTTGCTGAAGCTTCATGCGAAATAGATTCGGGCCGAGATCTGTCTTGGATTTCTTTTCTGGTTCCAATGCTTTTGACTCTTAATGCAACATGCCCAACCAGGCGTTTTAGGGTCCAAATCTTGCGAAATCTCTTTGCAGCACAAAGACACGCGGAAGCCGAGCCAAATTTGCCAAGAGCCAAGGAGGTCACTTGGACGAGCAACGTCAATACCAAAGTTGGATGATTGTGCTCCATTGTGCTCCACAGCCACTAGAACTGTATGTCCTTTTGAGCTTCTGACTCAAAAATGAGCTTCTAGGGAACACAAATCGGCATTATATCCTGGGCTACTTGAATTTTAGCAACAGCTTGGCCTTCTAGTCTCAGCTGTGCTGTGGCCAAATGTTAATGCCTGGTGACATGAAAAAAACAGGCAGAATACAAAGCGGGCACTATCTTTCTTGTAGACCCAGGGGTTGCTTCACACAAAGTCTTGAGGCCAAGATTTCAGCAGCTATAAGCTGTTGGCTACAGGACCAAACATAATTTCCGCAACAGGAACTTGATGGAAAGCAGATCCAGCTGTCTCCTGCCATGCAGAATCATTCAACATATTTGTTGCCACTGAAGGCTGCTATGCTTGTCCCAAAGTACTGAGTTAGAACTTGCCAATAGTTTGTTCCCGAAGTGTTGGTTGAGGCCTGTGTTAAGTTATATCATATTATATTGTATAGTATCTCATAATATTTTTTGCTCGTCAAACATTTCTCTGATGAGTTTGAATTCCTGTGGGTTTGAGAATGATGAAACAGTCTCTGATGATGAGCTGTAGCTTTTCTCAGATCGTTTCAAAACATCGTATACCTTCACCACTCATCAAACGTCGCCGTCAAATTTCGTGCCCCAGGTGGGTCCAATGAACATCCCACATCATCCCACTATCCAGGCTGAAAACAATTTCATGGGACCCAGGTGGCCCGTCCTCCAAGCCTTTCAGCGATCATGGCGTCACTATTGGGCTGATGATGTCCAGTTGACAAAAGGAAATCTAGCTGTAAATCGGAAGTGGACTGCATTCAACTGATTCCGAAGAATTGGCTGTGTGTTCTACAGATCGGTCTCTGACCAACCCACGACATCTCTGTCAAAACAAGTTTCAAAGCCTTAAATCGCAAGCTGCCTGCAGAATGAAACTGATGTATTAAAGAAGACATGGGCGTTATGAAAACATTTTTTGGAACCTGCATAAATACAAATGACACACCCATGTCACACTTACTTTTAACGACCAAGGAAGCCAAAACATCTGCAAGACGCCGTCAATTGCTCGCAGGAAATTGCAGCGAGTGGAGATTCCAGCGTCTTCCTATGGCTTCTCCAGGCTGAATATGTAATAGTTTCCAACGACGGATTTACATAAAATGGTGCACCTGTTGACTCCACAAAGTATTCTACACCACTTCTCACCGTGCAACACTTCAAATTATGCCTCGAGAGTAAGAAAAAAAACACGTAACCGCAACGCACCAACAGTTTGCTGCCCTCCTCTGTTCCTTTCCTCCTTCCCATTGCGGGCCTCCCAAGAGAAGAAGACTGTGCTCCCAACTCCTGCAGTCGCAGGGTTGCAATGCCGTGAAATGGATTGGATGACTTCACCAGGATAATCAATGGATTTGTTTAAGGGAAAAAAAATCAGGAAACCCCCATATTTTTCATGGTAAAAACCATGGTTTCCTGCAGATTTTCCATCCAATGACTGGATAAACCTGGAGGAATCACCACTGAATCCAGTGACCTTTGCGGGTCCTGCTGGCGCCCACCAAAGAAATGATGGTGAGTACCTCGGACGTGATACCAGTGGCTGAAAGTTTCAACCTCAAATTTACAATCTAGTGGGACAATCCGCCTGACTAAGGCATGGAACTTCAAAATCAGCCATATATCTCACATATAATATATATATATATATATCATAATACTGTATATATATATATAATATTGTGTAATAATAGTAAATATAATATATATTATACATTATAATAATACGGCAAGACCCTATGGTCTGCCCACGAGGTTTGAATGGAGTTCAAACATTATCCCTCGACATGCTCAAAAACCTGCGCAGGGCCAGTGTTTTGGTATTTACCAGACGACGAACCCTAAACCCTAAAACCCTAAAACCCTAAAACCCTGAAAACTCTGAATCCGAAAGCAGAAAACACTGCGTATACGAAGTATTTTCTGCAATTTCTCTTCTCATGTTCAACGACAGGGAATCCTCAATGTTGCAGTGGGCAAACCACGGGGTTTGTGCGTAATAATAGTATACATATATATATATATATATAAATTCTGTGATAATAAATATATACAGTATAAATATATATTATATGATAATGAATGTATATTAATATATATATAAGATTAGATTAGATTGGATTATATTATATATATTATTTTAAATTTACATTTATATTTAGATTATATTATATTATATCATATTATATTATACTGTATTGTATTATATTTATGTTTAAAACATTTGTATATATATATATATATACACGTATATTTATTTTTATATTTATATGTAAATGTATATTGATATTACTATATCATATTATATTCTATTATTATACTATATTATCATATTTTATTATTATATTATATTATCATATTCTATTATTAAATTATATAGCCCCCTGTCAATTAAGGGGTGGGGCTGTGCAACCATTTTGTAGTGAAGAAACGGCTTGCATAGCCTCAAGCTCTACTAAATGGATGCGCATGCATGATCGAATTTCACTACTAAATGTGGGCCCCTGGTTCAGCTGAAGCGCAAAATTTGGATATATTTTCAGAGTGTCTTAAGACACCAACATGACTCGACCAAACACCCTGTTCCATTTAGTAGAGGTACTCATTTGAGCACAAGTTGCGAGACCAACATCACTCGACCAAAACCCCAAAGCCATTTAGTAGAGAAATACACGGGGTCCATTTAGTAGAGAAAACAACATGAAACACATATGACTGATCCCATGACCATCCATTAGTAGAGGCAGCACTTGGCTAAGCAGGGGAAATCTTGATAGATTTTGGACATTTTGGGACTACAAAATGGTGTTCCATAGCACGTAAGGGATAATAGGGCACACAAGGATGCAACAGGGCTTTGTGTGAAACAGTTCTAGATAGACTGATCCCATGACCATCCATTTAGTAAGCACCCGACGAGCAAGAAACACCCAAGCGAGGGATTTGGCATCGCCCCCAAGAACCCAAACACGAAAGGCAGCACCCGAAGAGCAAGAAACACCCAAGCGAGGGATTTGCCATCGCCCCCAAAAAAGGCAAGGCAGCACGGTGGGTTGGCCAAACGGTTATCGGGGGCAACGGAATGGGAATCTCTACTAAATGTTTTTTCAGTTTTGTCTCATTTCATTGTGACCGTTTTATGAACTCTACTTCGCAACCTCTACAAAATGGTTCCTGTGACTTTGCAACATTTTTTTGACATCTCTACTAAATGGTTTTACCCAAAAAACAACATTTGACATCATATGATTAACATATCATTTTTACCTCTCTACTAAATGTGGATCATGGGTCTAGAGATGTTTACTTGATGTTTTTTTTGAAAAATCATGATTCTCTACTAAATGGTTTCTAGAAATTTCACACTAAATTTTTGGTTCACTTTCCGGGACCTAGGTCACAGCATTTAGTAGTGGAAATTGGCAGGAGGATAATTATATATCATTACATCATATTATATCATATTATATTATATTATAACATTCATATACTGTAAATATACATATGTTCACATATGAATATTGATCATAGGCTCAATGGCAAGCCAAATAAGTCGGTGGAAATGGCACACAAACCTACCGTTTATTCGTGGAAAGATTCACGAGTCATCGGTCCAGCTCATCATCAAAATTATAGCTATAGCATGCTATAGCATGCTATAGCAGCCATCTCACAGCTTCGGTTTTAGGTGAGGAATACCTTGGGGTGTTGATTGAATGGTGCAACATCGTGGCTCAAACACGGTGCAGCACTATGACCCAGATGCTGGTGCTTTGTTGGTGCCATGCTGTTGAGAAGCTATCTGAGTGCCCCATGATGTCGGTGACCGACAAAAGCCGACTGCAAACATGGAAGCATTCGAATCTGAAATGAACAGAAATGCACAGAATAGGTTACTCGGTTGCCCAAAAGAAATGTTTTGGGTTTCCCGTTTCCAAGTTCTTGGGTTCGGTGTTCAGTTTTCGCCCCAGAGTTCTTGCCCAGGTCACGTCACTTTGGACCGACTTTTGGATCATCTCGTTCTTGGCGTCAATCGCCTGGCAGGACCGAAATGAATGCCACTGCTGCGGCGCATTGGCAACTTTTGAGAAATGCATAGAAACTTCAAACCCGATATAACATAACCTAACTTCATCTAACTTCAGTCTGCCATCGAACCAAATTCACTATCTACCCCGCTCCTGGTGCCACTTCATGGAAGTTTGCAAGGCAGAAACCTACAGTAGGGGAAGCGGGAGTGCCAGTCAGCATTGAAGTGGCACGGAACGACTGATTGCTGATAAAAAATGATAAAAAGATATAAAAAGTTCTTTCATCCGGAAATGGCCACTCTTCGCGAAATCAACGTGCGACTCTTGTGAAACTTTCGTGAACTCCAAGTTTATCTTCGTGGGGTCCTTGTGGGGCAACAAAGTCTTTTGTGAAGACAGGACTCATTCACTATATTGCTCTGCAGTATGGGCTTTTACTTGTATGGCTTGCTGGGACATGCTGGGGCATGCTAGGACATCCCCTTCAAAATGCACTTCACACTCGCCGGCTCCTTCGTGCATCTTTCGTGGAACTTTTGCAAAAAAAACAAGGATGATCCATGATATAAAACTATTGCAAATCTCTCAAAATCTCTCTGAATAAATATTGCTTTCACAAAATCAATCGAAGAACTTTCGCGAGGGATAGAAAGATGAGATGAAATGTCATTGCAATCACAGCTGCAAACAAGGAGCTTTGGATCACTACCAAAACCGTGTTCTAACTTGGGACAAAGCAAAGCAACACTCCCATTGCAAAATATTAAGAACTTCTGGACAGTTCAACACGTCACTCTCCACAGCTGCAACCAACCGACAGCAGTTGAATATATGATGTTTTTTGACCTAAGGATATCCAAAAAAGAAACAACAAACACCATCCCTTTTTATGTTAGGAATATTCCGGGCACCGGTTGATGCTTGCACATCCCACACCGGCATCCCAAGGCGCCGCAGCATTGTAGGCCACATCACTAGCCACAAAGTGTTGATGGCGAAACCTCATGGCATTGCGCATCATTGCGCCAAAGCCGGTAACGTTTGCTGGTTTTAGATGGTTTGAATGGCTCCAGTTTGAATGGGACTTGCCACAACGCCAGAGCCGCTGTCTTTAGATGGCCATTCAGTGGTGCCTCCTTTGCGTCCCGATGCATCCAACATTACCTGTGGAGCCCCAACGACTCGATGGCCCAGCGCCATTGCAAGGCCTGCATCTGGACCGATGGCAGGAATCTAAGGCGGTGAAAAAACAGATTCTGGTAAAATATATGGTATTATCTAGTTTGTTGATCATCATAGATCGCAAAACACAACACACGCTATTCGGACACAACATGAAGTGACATATTGCTCAACTCCACAATGCATGTGGGTCCAACATGATCATGCCGAGGTGTGGGACATCTGCTCCGTTGTCACATAAGCCCCACCTTGTCGCAACAACTCACCAGGGCCCCGAGAGTCACTGCGTCTGCCTAGACACAAGTTGAGGTTAGACATTTGCACCAAGAACCCCTCGTTTTTTTTTTCTACATCACGACTTCACAAATAGCTCAAATGCAGAAAACAAATATTGGTGATATAAGCCAAGATAATCAAACATAATTGCCCACTAGGTTGTCATTCCTCTTTGAACAGCTACCTCTTGGCCAAAGATAAACCAACCAGGGACTGCCTGAAGGCCGTCTGAGGACTGAAGCTGCTCCTCAGTGAGCCGTTGGTTGATGAATTCACCCATCTTAGTGGTTCAGTCCCATGCTTTTGTTTGATATTCAGTTTTATTCCTTACATATCCCCTATATACTGATGTGTATGTATATATATATATATATACACCCATATGATCGTAAGTGTATGTATATAAAAAAATACATATACATACAGTTACATATATATATATAACATATCCCATCCCCATCCAAACTGATGGTTCACTGCTATCGCCCAAGGTTCCCGTAGTTCCAGAGCACTGTGCCACTGCTTGCCTCTCCTGGGGTCACAGATATGTCGGATACGTGGTGAATGGCATCCAGCCCAGTGACCTGTGTAACTGGGGATACCCCATATATCTTATATTAAATTAGAGTAATATATATATATATATATACAGATAGATAGGTACATATACATATATATATATATACACATACAGTTGTAGCGTAGAATATATATATATATGTATATATATATATACATAATCATACGTATATATATATATATGTATATATATATATACGACATGTATCTAAATATGCAAAACTGGCTGAAGAACCATGGTCATGAAGCAATTCACCTACTGGGATGTGCATACAGGTAAAAAGGTATGTATTGCTTTCTCAACCATCGAAGCTAAGATACAGGCAGGAAGGAAAACAGCGCCGATTCTCGAGACTCTGAGCCGTACTTCCACTTTGTTATGTAAAAATATGTAAAACAACTCCACAAGTGTGAGCTCTGGGAGCAGTGGACCCTGGCAACTTTTCTGCTATGTCAAAGAGACCCAAGTACCTACTCACCACTCTCATCATTCTCATCCAACTTTCCAGCGTGGAAGACTCAGCAAAATCAGCACACCAGCCTGATGGGTGTACACGACCATTTTTCTTGGAATGCACATGTCAAATGTCTGGATTCGGAAAAATCCCTCGAAATTGTCCTGCAGGCGCTGATGCAGGAGTTGAACATGGGACCTGAGGCGGAGGGGTCGGAGGTCCCTTTGTTGACTTGGTACATCTGGTGCACAGAGAGTTTGAACTGTCATACTGCATGCTATGTCTTGTTGAAAAGACTATGTACATAGCATATGGGAACATCATATCTATGATACCTAGAATATAAGCACCAGAAGATCCAAAGAGTGGGAAATATCTTGCTCTGAGCACTCTCTGCACCGCCCTGTCTGACAGCTTCGGAAAACAGCACCATGGTCCCTGCTTGTGGCAGTACCAGCTCGTTGTAGTAGCAGAAAGGCCTTGAGCCGCACAGATCGAAGCTCCGTTGATGGCTGTTCAAAAGCCTGACAATGAACCGAAGATTTATGTATTTATTTCAACATTTTGGCATATTTAGCCAAATGGGGCGCTAAATTTGGCCCAGACATAATATGAATCTTCGATTTCCTGTATTTCACATCACCAATGTGAATGCACATCACCATGGAGAACACACACACACACAGGAAATCTGCATTGGGCTTCCTTCGCTTCCAAGTGGCAACTTCCCATCGTTGCGCTTTCTCACAGGAGGCAATGGCAGCACCATACCTAGTAAACATCTCAAAGAAGACCTTACCCCCCAAAATGGAGGGACTTTGCAACCTTCAAGTGCCTGGTAAACATCAATAATTATACATACGTATATAATATTCTTCATTAACTGGGGATAGGCCTTATATGTATAGATTATAACATGTTGTAACTTATAACTTATAACTAACCATAATCAGTAACACCCGCGGGCGCACGAGATGGTGTCTTCAGTTCCTGGCGTGCCAACAAATGTCTCAGTTGTCAAGTTGTCACCTGAAATCTTTGGGGTTTTTGAAATTAAACGCTACCGTCACTACAGCGCTACAGGATCTACAGGGCACAGAGAGATGCATGGAGATGGGTCTTTGATATTCTTTGATGCCGTTTCATGCTGTTTCACGCTGTTTCTTGCAACGGCCGAAGGCACAAGGTACACAATTTTCGTCCTAGTCATTCCCTGAGCACCTGAGAGGAGTTGAAGAGACGTGGCCCAACGCCTTGGTTCTGTTTAAACATAGGGTACCCCAAAATCCAAATTTGACTTTGGCTTATCTGATCTTATCTGATCTTCTCTGTACATTGCTCTACATTCACCATTTCTGGGCCCAAATTTGCTGTTGCTAGTGAACCTTCTGCTGAAAAGTGTATGAACGCTGGGGTTGATGTTCCCGGGATAGGAGCCAGACGCTGCGCTGGCACAACTGGAGATTGCAGCACGACTGCCCACCTCACGGGGGTCCAATCACGAGGCTCAATGCCTATGGCTTTGTTTGAAAATGGTGTCTCCAATTTTCATGGGCTCATGGATAATCATCATTCACCATGATTAACCCATGGGTTTTGGGGTATCCCATTTTCACATGATTTTCCCACAGTTCACAGCTTCAACCTGGTGAAACATGTTGAAAAATCCTGGAAACCCTGAGCACACCTCAAGGGACTCGTGTTGAAGCAACACCAGTAGATCCAGGGCCTGGGTCTGAAATTTCGTCACATGATTCTTCTCCCATCTCCCTGAAGTTGGAATTTTACTGAATAATTTTTCAATCTTGCGTAACCTTCCCATCACTTCCAGTTTTTTTGGCCCACGACTACCGTAGGTTTTTGTATGCAATTCTGGTGGTTGGTCTGGGCAATCTCCAAGCCTTCGCCACCTTTGCCTTGCCAACGCTACCTCGGAAGTGGTGGACCCTCAGCAGGGATCAACCTATGGGTGACATGTCAGTTGGCAACCTGTATCCAGGATCCCACACCAATGGCAATGTCAGACGCAATGCGATCCGGCACAACACGCCTGCGACGATTGATAGAGAAATCATACTGCGGTGGATCAAGTCTCATCTGTCTAAGCTGTTTGGGGTTTCATCAGCCACTCATATAATATATAATTATATATATACACATAAATTATATATAAATAACCACAACATCCCACAATCACTTGGGTTGTCCGAAAACAGGCTACCAGGTATACCGCTTGGTTTGAAGTTTAAAGAACTGGATTTTCCGTTTTGAAATGCCCACTTTGGGCTCTCTGTATCTTGAACCTCTTGACAAACCAACTTGCCTTTTGAAACTGATCCAACACCCCGACATCGGCGTCCTCTGCAGCATCCTCATCACAATGCGAATGGCCTTAAACATTATGGCAGCTTGGGCAAGTCAAACTAGCAAGAAAAGGCTATGGGTCAAGCCATTCACAATCACTTCACAAATGACTCCGTTCATTTTTTTGGATTAGAAACCGTCCAATTTGGGGATGATTTTGTCCCATAGCCATGAACATCATTGAAATTTCCTGTGAAACCCCGGTGGCCTCTGGAAATAAATGGCTGAAAAAGTGATCCGGAACCTTCGGATCACTTTGTGCTCAGTGCAGCTGCAGCCAAGCTGGGCTACCCCACGTTACGCCAGTCACTGGAAGAAAGCCTTGGCTGCTGTGTGACATGTGGAACCAACAGGGAAAAATCACTGAACCTTGAACATCTCCAAACTTCTCAGAGCTGCGTGTCAACATCCACTGCATGCCAAACTCCAAAAGTTGATTCTTGATGACCACCAAAGTCCAACTGGATTCTATGCAGGCCTTTTGCGTGCGAAGTCACAAGAGCCAAACGGATTTCTCGCAAAATTCACAATAACTACTCCAATATAACCAATTCAATGCACAATGGTACACTATGTGTTCCACAATTTGGCACCTTAGGTGCCCGGTATTGCCCGGTGGACCCCCACGCAGTTTCACTCCAGGTGGCACAGCAGAGAAGCTTCGCACGTCGACGTCACTTCCCGCCGCCTCCTCAGCGAGCATCATGGCCATTCCCTGCGGCGAATCTCGGCCGTTTCCTTATTGGGGATGTATCATGATATACCGTCGGAATAATCCCTATCTATCCCTATCTATCCCTATCTAACCCTATCTATCCCTATCTCATCTACACAACACACATATCAATTTGCATAATGTAATTATAAGTATATACTTATAAGATAATTATATATATATACACACTGTACAATGAGGTCTGGAATTCAACTGGGCATTCATTGCATGGGGTACGTCACAAACCTGTGGACATAAGCAGTGTTCCCTATTCCTGGACAACCCCCGCAACAGTTTCGGAAGTGAAACGCGGTAGCCTTGGTTAAACAGCCTAGGGTTTTATTCTTCGGAGTTATATGGAGTTATCATTGAGGAGATTTGGGTTTTTGACCAAAGGGGATGCCGAGATTATCTTCACCTTGCACTTTTAAAAGACACGGAGATCAAGAATCCTCAAGTCACAGTGAAACGGACGGGGCAGGCTGGTGCTGCCATGGAGACAGAGATACTGTCACGTTTCGCTGTACCCCAAGGAAGATAAGGAAGACATCATCGATGGGCGCCTCTCGCCAAGAGGAATCCGCCACAGATCCTCAATCCAGGGACCATCCGCGAAGACTTCATTGAAAGCTGTGACTTCAGAGGGGCTGCCTCTTCTTGCTTTCGAACTCAGGATGCTTGAAATGTGAGTCGGTCAAGGTACAGTAAGGCAGTTGGTTTGGTTAGATTTGTTGCGAGACTCCAGATCGACCAAGATCACTGGATATACCCCGTACCTGCACATAGAAACTCTGTCATGACATCCCTTTCTGAAACTCACTAAATAGATCCGATATTCCAAATGAGATACTTCACCAATAAATGAGCTTTTAAAATGGGGGAAAACAATTGTACACAGTTGAATTAAAACTGGCTTCTGAATTTTGAGACGTTTCGATTCCATTTCTGGCAAGTCACTGTGGATGGTCTATGGTTTCAATCCATTTCAATCCCACATATTGGGACAGCATTCATTGCCAAGCTGCCCAAAGCACCATTGAAGCCCACAGTATCCAGGCGTATGCCTACCAGGTGTGCTGGTCTGACATTTATTGAAATGATTTGAAATGGCAATGTCTGCGATTGGAAGTTCCTCTCAAAGCTTGTCCAGCTCTCCAAGATTGGCAGCTGGCGGGGCAAGGCACAGGCACACACATCTAAACCTCCATCCGGCGTTCTGTGCCTTGTTTTCGAAGCTGCTTCAGAACCACCAGCCTCGGCAGGACGGCAGGACATGGCAGGACACTCAGTTGACAACGGCCCAACACATCTTGAGGCCAAGTGGTGCCTGGATATTCACGACGCTTTTGATGCTATTATTCATGATTTCCGACTTATGATTTTGCTGACGTTATTTCTCAGTGTTGTTGCTGATCATTATAATATATTTTAATATATCATGGATGATGGATGATGGATGATTGGCGCAACCATCATGACATGCAGCCACCATCTTAGTCCACGCCCATCTGGGGGCCAACGTCTTCATCCACTCCGAAGCTGCGATGAAGGTGGTATAGGAAACCAAACTCCAGGGCTGACGCCTGGGGATCACTGCTGGGGATGGGGATCGAAATTGAGGGGCTTCCCAGGATCAGAGTTGGAACACATACCTCGTAGGTATTGGAATCTGGGATTTCCACAAGGATTTGGTGGAATTCTGCACTTTACTTTCGACTCAACCAACATCATGAGATCTTTGGACCAAGTTGGCAATCTGGTTACCCTGGGGCCGGTCCTCAGGCCTGGTGTGCAGGGACTGCAAGAGACCCACCGAGAAATGCCAACCTGGATGTCTTGCCATCTGTCTGATGGGTCATGAAAAAACCTTCACATGGGAGGTTCATGGCCATTCTCTGGAACTGGTATAGTTACAATATGGGCCAACAGGTCAACATGGTGAATCCTCCCAATTGGACTGATCTTCAGATGTTGTCAAACCATTTTCCAAAAATTGTTCGGATGGTTGTTCAACTTTTGACAACAAATCGTCAAAATGTTTAATTAATAACATACAGTACCTTGTTGATCTTATGGACACTGGTTGCCCACCAGGATGATTGACAGAGACTGGGTCCCCACGCAACTGGCTGAGATACCTTGCACTGATGCGAGGGCAACAAGGGTGCTGAAGGTGATCTTTGCCCGGTATGAAACCGTGTAAAACAAACATCCTTGTGACACTTGTCGTTCAAAATGTTTCAAAGCTCTTGGGAAATCAAATCTCTGGATATCCGCTAGATTTGGCATCGCGCTGGTGCCTGAGTCTGCGATGCTGTTGCTGCTCTTTACGTCCAGCCTAGCAACGGAAACGTTTGTGGACCCAAAATATCTATACCAGAAACGTCAGGACTCGACAAGCGAAGGATGCCAATAGCATCCAATAGCCACAGTGTTGCAAAGCGAAAAACAATCACGTGCAGTTCAAGCAAAATGCAAGCACCAAAAAAGTGACCCTTTGTTCTGAAACCACACAACGGTTTGTCCACATATGAGGCATACCCCGAAGCATACTCATCATACTGAATTTGCATGAACTTGCCATACATTTGGGGTAAGACTTTCTGGAATCGCACCTATTTCCTTGAATAATTAGCTTGATCAGCTGAATCCCTATCTTTTGATGTTGGTTGAATCATGAAATCCCACATATTAACCCCCATTCTTGTTGGTTCAATCCTCACTATACGTGGGTTAAAACCCCCCCTATAACCCCATTGTTTTCCAGTAGAATCCGCTGATTCTGATCCTGGGTAGCCACCTGACATGATCGCGCTGCATCTGCGTCAGCGTTGCCACGGCTTCAAGCCAGGGCCTCGATGGCAAACCACAAAATCAAACTGGGTTCCAATGGAATTACACATTTGGATTGCCAGTTTCTGTGATTAGTTTTCTTGTTGTAGCGTTATTGAAATGATAATTTTTGCTTTGAGTGCATTTGACTATGATTTTGGATTTTTGATATTCGATAGGCGTCGTCGCCGTCGTCGTCTGATAAGTTTTCTTAATATTTTCCTATCTACCAATATTTTGGCATTATTGGTAGTACTGCTATTGCTTGTATTGTCATTCCTATTTCTGTATTGCTGTAGCTGATATGTTGCCATTAAAATCTCACAGGTACTGTTGTTATTCTAATATGCTTAAATATGTTTAACTTGGTTATAATAATTACAATAGTTATCGACATTACCATTCTCATTACCATTGCTATTGCAGTAAATAATACGCCCGATACCCAGATTAAAACATATTCTAACCATTCCCGAAAATGGGGGGCAAACCGGGCAAACATGGGGAAGAAAGGAACTAATGACTTCAGCTCAGCAAACTGATATGAATTGTGTGCAAGACCCACCGCAGCACACAGGTCCCCACCGAAACACACAGGTCCCCAGCAAGGACGACTCGAAGAAGCAGCGGGCCACATCCGCAGCCAGCACCGCATCCTCAGCCAGCACCGCATCCTGAAATTTTCCCAGAAGTCACACCAAAAATATGATCCACGTGCTGAACTTCCCGGAGACGAGATTGGTAATCTGATGAAGTCAGAGCCTATCCCGAGCCAGTTCTGGATATCCGTGGGTGCCCGCTATGGTGACGTATACATACGTATACTGTATACCCTTCGCGCACGCTACCACAATGTGCCAAATTTCTTCCTGTACCCGGTGAACCAAACATAGGAATAGATGCAGTCTGATCGAGAACCCCAAACAGTCCAGCCTGGGAGTTCTTAGTCTTCCAAAAGATGTACTGACCCACACGCTGTCACCCACTACACAGGGACGTTGGGTCACACCCCTCCAATTGGATCCAATTGGTGACATGTAGTCACGAGGCTTTTACAACGTGCCCAAAGTGTTGTTCTCATTGACGCAACAAAGATCTGCTGTTGCCACCTGTTTTCAAACCAGTATGGATCAGAAAGGATTCGACACCAATGGGAACCCTAAACACACCGGTTGGGTCTGTTCAAAAGCGTTGGAAACGCACCTGCAATCAAAGTTGTGCCCTCCGCTGTTCCCCTCTGGGGCAAGCCGGCAGCTTCCAAGCCATTATGCCCTAGGCTTTGAATCAGCCTCGTGGCATCCAGCCACCTGAATCCGGTTGCATCCATGTTTGAAGGTCGAAGTGCAGCGCCACTATATTAGCATGTGTTGGAGGCAAAGGTCACTAGTAGCTAGAACATCAGTTTATTGGGTGAAAACGTGGTGGAAGGAATTTACAATTCAACCGACCCCACGTGTTCGAGTCAAAAGCTGACAGCAGCAATATTTGTCCCTGCCTTGGCCAACGCGTCAACCACAAACTCGCGCCCTTCGCCCTGGGTGCTGCATCAAATAGGCGCCACGATATGGATCTGCTGGCCTTGGTGGAAGTTGAACGCTTGGACAGATGCAATAGGGGAGGTGGAGGAGAAATTGGAAGACGCTGGCTGGAACTAGCTGAATTTCATTTTTTGCCTGCTCAACTTACATGGCTTTGCACACTTCACCATAAAATGAAAAACCCAGATTGCACTTCCAGCATGGCCACCTGCGAAATTCAGCAAAGTCACCTGTTGAAGAAGTTCAGAAACACATCGCGATGGAAGTGGCAACCCTTCCCGACGAAGCCTCCAAGGAGATACCCATCAGACCCCCCGCCAAATTCTTCACGGCAACAAAACAAAACCGTCAGGGGCTGTTGTGAAAAGTCTACAGTCTACATGACGCTTCCCAGTGCCTCAACCAATATGACCCATTCACGGTTCCATCTTGAAATCCATTCCGCCGAGCCCTGAACACCCTGAGTTCCCATTTGTAAACACACACATCCTTGTCGCTGGGACAATGGCGCCCACTGCCTCTCCAGAAGTGTTGTGACCACCTCATCCTCGTGTTCCCCGACAGCTGTGCGCAAGCATGCCTGCGTTTTGGCTCAACGGATTCGTTGGGGTACGGTGGTAGCCCAGCGTGCCAAACAAGCTACATGCCGAAGGGATTAAAATTCACAACCCCAAAATGGCTGGGACAAGAGCCCATCACAGTTGCTTGTTTGGCGAGGCACCTGATAATTGATGGGATCTGAGCGCAGCTTGGGGTCTTCCAGTAGCACCTCATGCTGAGGCAGAACATTGAATTGGCGGTGGAAAACCCGAAAACCCAGATTGGCATGTCTCACGAATCAATTTGTTCACTCCTGCAATGGGTTTGGGTATGTATCTGCATGCGTCGGCCACTAGAACTATCGATGCTTGCGTTCGCAGGATATGGGGATGAACCGTAGAGACTAAAGTTTCCCCAAACATTTCCGGATCAGAAATGCAAATCTGGGATGATTTCGTTTTCGTAAATTCTCAATTTGTCGGCCCATCCCCCATACACATGTCAATGTGCCGACTGAGCCACCAAGGCTTGGGCGAATTCGCTGGCGCCTAGTAATGAAGACAGGAGGACGGTGAGAGTCACCTCATCCCGTGACTTTTTCGGCTTGGAAAAAGTGAGCCACAAAGCTTTTGGCCACTGGGCCACGCCCCAGGCGCCCACCTGGCCGCTGGACACCGTGATGCTGGCAGGGAAACTGCTCAAAAACTTTTTTTTTTAAAAACGAGTTCAGCACCAGGAATTACATCAGATGTTGACTTCTCTCTGATTTCATTCTTAAGGACGTCTTTTGAAGGTGCTTTGCGAAAGTATGGCCACTAAACACCACACCAGAATGGCTCGATGCAAGTACAAGGTTCTGCCAGGGAGGCAAAGATGTGCAGCTAAACATACCAAAAGAGAATGTCGGCACCCACCCGCCAAAGATTAGTCACCAGCAGCCAGAAACAATTTTTCGCGATCAACGAAGCTCTCGTCCGGATTTTTTGGTTTGCCTAGGTCTTGTGAAAAAATGTAAAAAGTTGCTTTCAAGAAAGCAGAAGCCCCCAGTTTCCAATGTGTGAGGGTTGGGGCGACCAAGATTGCAAACGAACAAGCCATTCCCCTTGACCGTGAGTCTATTGGTGCCACGGAAGGTTTCAAGTGCTCAGACTGAAGCCCTCATTTGTCTGACCTCTGAAGTTGCGCTATGTTGAACTAACCCAGCGCAAAGAGCAAGACCAGCACAGAAGTTCGTGGATTTTCAGTGTGAAGTAATGTTGCCACTGCTTTTGATTACGGCAAAGGACCAGCCAAACCTGGATTCCGCGGTCTTGCAGTTCAGAGCTGTCACAACAAAAGCATTGACACAGTGAAAACATGCAAAGCGCTGTCTTGCAGTTCAGAGCTGTCACCAAAAACGCTAGGGCAGTTCCACTGGCCCTTTGAAGACATGCAAAGCTAGCTGTTCTGAGACTTCGGAGCTGTCACCTTTTTGCCAACAGCACCGGAAGCGCGCGCTGGGACGGTGCCCTTATCACTGTCCACTTGTTGCCTGAACTTCGACCAGAATGTTGCGGCTTCTTCAGACACAGGAATGGGAGTGGAAGAGATAGTTTTGCAATCCAGGCCGGCCCTTCCGATCTTCGAAAAGCTGCGATGCTTTGCAATTTTTCACCAATTTTCCGGATGATGGCCCGCAGGTGGCCAACGCAGGATACGACCTAGGTGTAGCGCCAGTCAGATTCCTCCAGTCAGTTTGGGGATGGTCATAGCCATATTGCCCTGCGATCCATGAGATGCTATCCTTCCGAATCCAAGTTGAAGACAGGCCCAGGGATGCGACACCTCCAAAGGCATGGTAGAGTTGGCATCTGCCATCTTCCAGGATGCAAAATCTATCAAAGTCAGCTTTGCCATGGCCAACAGTGCTAAGGCATCCGGTCAGTGACACCTAAATTGCCGAGCCAGAAAAGGCAAATGGGATGGCTTCAACTTGACACCGATGCAATCATCGCAATCTACTCAAAATCCTTCGGCATTCCTCGCACAGTTGATGACAGTATTTAATGCAAGCATGGACACGGCCGGGAGGCAACTGCAATGAGGCAACAGTAAAGACACCCAAGATGAGGGGTTGACCCATGTTTTCTTATCATCTTTGCTACTAACATGGCCATGAATTGGGGGACGAAGAGCCCAATTTCGAGGCAAGCCCATGCTGCCCCCTGTGGTCCCGCCGTTTTGGACAATCCCACAATATTGGCTTTTTTCAAACACTCCCATGACAAAATATGTCCACATTTTCTGCCTGTATCCACCATCTTTGGATCCCAGATCCAGAATCCCCCGGCATCGCGGACTTCACCCGCTTCGCCTCCTCGTTGAAGCTGCTGATGTCGGTCTCAGCGAAGCGCAGCTGCAGGTCAGCGATGAGGGCTAAGGAGGTGCGCCACCTGAAGATCTATGGGAAACTGCGTTTTTTTTTTAATGGTTTCCCCATGGTGTTCCAAACATCGATAAAGAAAATTAAACACAAATAGAATGGTAACATATATGGGGATGTTCCTCTGCAAAATCATTTAACAGAAGCCAAGTCAAGTACTTCTGGGATATGGCGGCATTGAGGTTCCTAGGGAGACAGGATGCTGGGTGAAGATCCATGTCATCCATAAGATTGTTATCGCAAGATGCATTCAGGAAGATGATAGCTCTGGACATCAGAGGCCCTTGTGCTGATCAAGTTGGCTGCAACGATGAAATCGTGTGGTGTACATTTGTCAGCGATCACAACAGGCAGAAGAATGTGCAACATCACATGTGTATCTCTCCATGTCGTTGTGAACCATCCTGGGGCTTGACATATCATATGCCATATGACTCATCCCCAGATCCAACTCCATCCCCAACCCCATCCACCTCCCAGCCCTGCGCGCTGCCGTGGCAGCGCTGTTGGTGGGTGCCAGGGCATCCGCCAGCTGCGTCGCCAGGCGCCAGTGCTGAGCGTTTTTTGCCGCGGCGCAGAGACAGGTCATGGAGACATGGTCGGAGGCCTGGGGAAATTATGGGAGAAACTCGGAGAAACCATGAAACTCATGGAATTCTTTGTGTTTTTTTTCTGTGTTCTCTTGATGATCTTGATGGTATCTGATTATATGATTTGATTAAGTCATGTCAAGTATTCGTATGGCCATGATTCCAAAGATTGCATGTGTTTCAATTACGGTTTCTTTTGTTGTCTGGCCCACTAGCCAATGCGATATTCTTGGGGGAAGCAAAGGTATTCGATGGGATGATGTTCTGAATGCTCTCTTGGGGGAAAAACACGTTTATTTGAAGAATCCCGCTTTAGAATGCTTTTGAATGATTGAAGAGGATTTAAGAGGACTAATATGGACTAATTGCTCCAATGCAATGTTTGGAAAGAGTTTGGAAAGATTCAATCGGAGGAACTGTAGCTGGGAAATCGCAGTCGATATGGGACTCCTTCCAAACCTAAGATTATTCTTCGCGGGGAATTCTTCGCAGCTCTTGATGCAGGTCTCGCACATGCAGGTGAAGCCTAATCCGTTTCAAGCCATATCAAGGCCTCCTTTCATCCAGCTGCCGGCCACGGCTTGAGAACGGTGAACTCCCATCAATCAGCGTCATGTTTAAATGCTATCTATTCCATTCCCCATTCCCCTATCCCCACTGGAATGAATAGATAAGATCTGGTATTATAGAATATATAACTATAGATGTAATAGAAGTACAACTCTAATGTACATGGATATCATAATATATACAGTATATAATTGTATATAATATAATATATATATACTGTATATATTATCATATCATATCATATCCATGTACTAAAATAACAGTCCATATAGAACAGTTATAATAAACACATCCCAAATCCCCATCCATTCCACCCATCTCCTGATCTTCGGTGGCCATTCGCTGCATCACCTCCAGTGCCCCCTTCCAGGCAGCCGATGCGGCGGCGCTGCTCAGCAGGGCATTGTAGGAGACCACGTCCAGCTGCGAATGGCACGTCCGTTGAAGGATTACAGCAATTATGAGTTACTATGAGTTTATTAGTGGGAACGACCCAAGATCATATAATTTCAGCTTTGTTACTATGAGCTACTAAATATTACATTGACATATCAAATCCAAACTATTGATTATTCAATCATAGGTTGAAATATTAATTATGACATAGCCATTCCAAAATCATTAATTATATTAACTGAGAATCCATTAAAAGACTATAATGGTTATTTGATGTTATTTGATGGTAGCGCTTCTTGGATATCTGTTGATTACATCTGCTGATTATCGCTAAGTCACAATATCACCTGGGCCATACGAGGGCCCTGACGGCCGGTGAAAGCGTCCTTCCCGACTAGAGAAGGCGACGGATTCGTGAAGATCTTTGTCTCCTTGGAAAAGATTTTGGATACTTAAGAAAACAAACATGCTATTACTCTATTACTAGAAATGATTGGAATATCTTATTTACTACTTCCACAAGTTAGAAACAATTTCAGTAATTGGAAGAACACATCTTCCATATAGATTTTCTGTAGCAATGACCATGTCTGGTTCAACCTCCAACGCCGTTTTTTCAGGACCTCCATAGGAAGATCCCCCGAAAGACCTGGATCTTGAGCAGCTGCATCTGCCGCAGCACAGATGTCTCGGATGCTTCGACGCAATTCAGCAGCTGATTGGCGAGGATGGGATCGGGTGCCAGCCGCCAATAGGTCACTGCAGTAAAGACCTGAGGAGCTGAGGAAAAAGCGAGGCAGTTCACATAGAGAGTTGGATCTACCAAACTACTGTCACTGGGAGATCTGACTCTAGTACAACAAAGGTTTTTTGTGGGTAACAAAACGGCAGAACCGGCTTTCAAAATTAACACACAATGATAGCCGTAAAGATCACGAAGGATTTTTTGATCTGAACAATCTTTTCCCAGCAGTTAGCTTTGCCACGCTTCGCCGCGCTTCGCTGTGCTTCGCCAAGGTGCCGCTTCAAGAGCTGGCTGCCACTGAGGATATGTAAATGCCTTGGCTAGAATGAGACCGTGATGCATTGCTGTAACTCCCCAAAAGACAGCAAGACAATTTACCACCGTTTTAGTCGGGATCTTTCTATCTTCATGTGGGTTGCCCAAATTCGTTCCACCTAATTTTTTTTTTTCGTAAAAAGTCGCGTACCACCTGAAATCTGATTGCCCGCTGCTATCCGCGCACCAAATCGGGGGCAGTGCTTCAATCAATGCCGTCACTAACAAAATGAGCTGCCATCAGAGCATTTGCACACGCTGTGATCGATGGAGTCAGCCACTTCATCCTGCGTCTAGCGGTGCCAGGTTAACACCAGCAGCTACTTGGCTCCTCTGTCCATTTAAATCATTTCAGACCCAGTTCACTCACGGCCAAAGAGGGTTTACGACGCTGCCTCCCTGAAGAAAATTATACCAATTGATGCCATGCTACCAAAATATATTTTTACGACGCTGCCCACCCCCAAACTATGCCCAGCTGCCATCCCAGACCAAACCATCCCAAACAAAAACAGCTTGCTAACCCAAATCAAGCTCTTATCTCTTACTTATGTTACTTCAACTTTCCATCTTCTAAAAACCAGGCCCCCAAAAAACCACCAGAAATTGAATGGAGGTGTCTTAAGCCATAGAAACACACCAATTTCTCATCAACTTTTGGGATTTTCCAGCTACCATCCAGCTATTGGGGTGCCCATGGGTGCCCTAAACTCAGCTGAACCCGGGTCCTGATCTCCTCCATCAGCTGCATGGCTTGCGGCCAGCGTTCTTGTCGCGCCACCAGGCTGAGGCTGGCAGCGTAACAGGCGGTGTCCAACTGGCAACGCTAGGGCGCTGAGCTTTCGGGAGATCCTAAGCCATTGAGCTTTTAATGGAGAACATGATGGTATACATCATAAAATATTATGAATATACATAGAAATATACATAAATATACAGTACAGAAAATATGGGATGGAAATGGATGGAATGGGGGGACACGCGATTTTCAAACAAACGCATCTTGCGGGGTTCTGAAGTCTCGCTAAACCCCAACATGAACAAATTGCCGATGTGCAACCCCAAATCTGCCAAGACAATGGTGCCATGTCATCAAAATGGTGAGACGATGTGAGAATAAGTTTGGGTTGAATCGTCCTTCAACGGCCTTGACAACAATGGGACCCCACCTGAATGGTTTGGAGCAGCATTTGGCGCCCAAGATACAAGGCCTTGGGCCACTTCGCACCACGATCACAGGCATTGATACTGGCACTGTAGGCGAAGGCATCCAATTGGAGATGGCTCAGAAATGCCTTCCTTAGGTCGCTTCGGCGCTTAGTTGATGGGGGCCACAAATGGAAGTCATTTTGAGTATTAACTTATTAATGATCCAGTTTTTTGGTACCAAAATTCGATCCAAGACCCATATTGAATTATTGGGACCAAGTGTGGAAAGGACGAATTTTCTGGAATGAATGCTTGCAGTCCATAGTAGGCTGCAATCGATCACCGCATTTCCAACAAATGGCTATGGCTCAAAAATGGGTGACCAGTTTGGGATTCAACCATTCACTTTTTGGGGCTCATAATTTGAAATATTTTGAGCCAGAGCCAAAATGAGTCAGGCAGCTCCAAAGATTGCAGGCAGCTCTTCCATTTCGACGCCCTGCCAGCAGAACTAAGGCTCCTCGCCACCGAATGTTCACACCAGGCATGAAGAAGCTGACGGCAAACAGGTTCCCATCAAACTGATTGAACATAGGTCTGGTTCAAACTGATTGGCAGCCCAAATTGGAGTGTCTATGAACAAAAATGACCAATTCTGTGGGTCAATTGGGTTTGTCTGAAAATAGTGTAACCTAAAGGTCCCCCTAGTTAAACATCCTTGTCCCTCAGAAAATTGTCATTTTGTGGCATACCATGGTATACTCACATTTTCAGATACACCCAATATTGGTCCTGGTGAACTGCACCAATTCCTCACTGGGCATGGGCCCTGCGGCCCATCAGGCAACCTGGCGGTTTGTTAAACTAGTGGCTCTTCGCCGAAGGTTCCTTGGCAAAAATGCTGGCACCAATGGACCCACAACATTTTCTATTCTTGGTATATAAATACACACAATGTGAGGCCCCCCAGTTATAAGTTGGTTTGTAAGCCCCAGTAACTATAGTTATAAGTACCATAAACCATAGTTATTGGAGTTATAAACCAACTTGGCTATCTTGGGGGCCTCACATTGCATATATAAAGCATATTTAAAATATTTTAAAATTATGAAACCATCCATAGACCATCCATTTCCCATGTCAACTCCCAGGTTTTTGGATGCACTCCGACAAAATCTGGAGCTCACAGGTACCTGGAGCCCTGCGTGCGCTTCATCATCGGTCCACAGACCTGCAGCTGTGGGTCGGCAGTTGCTGGTCGTGTCAAATGAATGAGGTACATGATGATTAATGATTAGTTACAATATGTCACAATGATGATTATATAATTATCATATACTATCATGATATATCATGATGAGTTACGATGAATGTGTTCGGTACTGTACGAAAATTTCATATCCATGCTGAGATTCTCTATGTTACAATATGTTAAAAAATGATGGTTAATCAGTTGCAGTTCGAGAGCTCCCCAGTGATGAGCCTGTAGCAATTTGTCTGCCAATGGGCCGAGGATGGCAGCAGTGCGCTTGCTGTGCACCGGTGAGAAATCAGAATTCTAGGGACTATCCCAAGGGATTCCCAGGGGGCTTCATGGAGCTAGAGATACCAATACCACCATATGCCACCAATCTAAAACAAGGGGATGATATAAGCTATAAGGGTTATTTAATGATTAAGAATAGGGATTTGATGGGTTATAATGCAGATGAATGGATCGATATCTGAAACTGATCAACATTTCAACCGCTGGCCCAGGTGGTTCAAAATTCACAGTGATCACAGCAACACTTTGTATGGACATCGAACCAACAGTTCTTGAACTTCAAGCAGCAGGCCTTAGGACTACTCATGACTACGGAGAATATCTTCCAGAGTCCAATTCATGGCAAAATTAGTTGCTGCCTCATGCCTTGCTCAACTCTTGAACATGCTCATGTTGCCGGCCACAAAATCCGAGTTGCCACCTTGAGCTGGAAATATTTAGCGAGACTGGGTGAAATCCATATCCATTAATCCTCGTTGCTGGATGTTCAACTCTAGTGCCCCAATCTTGCCATGATGCGACTTCCAGGAGCCAGGCATTCCTAGATATGATGAGTAGAAAGCAACCACAGCGTTGATCACAATCACAGATCAATATTCCTTTGCTGGTGAGGTCCCAAGAAACAGCAAAACAATGAAGACATGTCTTGCAGGAAGGGGAGAACATTGGTTCAAGAGCCCTCTGTACCAGCTACTTCTCATTTTGCAGCTGCAGGCATTGGACACTCATCTCTTCAACGTTGGCTCCGCCCTGGGGGCCACTCTTTCCGGTGGCCCTGCCGCAGCAATATGTGAACTACTGGGCCCCATGGTTTTCATCCATGGCCACATTGATCTCAGTTGCTGTGCTTTTCATCAGCCAATGACATGGCCCCCCTCCATGGGCTGCGAAGTCGCACTCCAAGAGGCAGTTTAAAGAAACCTGCTACAAGTGCCAGAGAAATCTGTAGAATATGACAAGACAGATTAGGTCAACCAAACCAGACCAACCCTAGCTCCAAGGCAGTTCCCAGGTTCTCAAAGAACTAGTTTGCCAATGTGTTTTCCAGGAACCCCTTCAAATACAACTACCATCAAATATATCTAAAAAACTTGGGGGTCTTTGGCCACTTCCTCTGAAATTACACTCGCCTTGAAGATCCTTCAAACCATGATCAGAATGAAGCTGATGATCACCTGACACAGGTCGAAGCTAAGGATTGATTTCTTGTGCACCATTGATCCATGTCATTTCTATCATATGCCTTGAGATGCACCGCCCCAACTGGTGAGATACCATCTCCCGATCTCCACGAATCCCAGATCCAGCATTTTTCAAAGAGAGGGAAACGGGAGAGGCGAAGTGCTGGTGAAGTTGCAGTCCTGCAACCACCGCACTGAAACACCGAGAGGTCTGATCCCAGCGAAACATGGCTGCGATGCCATGCGGATGCCGATGGAACGAATGGAACGTTGGGAATCGCCACTGGGGTCGGAACTCACGCTACTGTGGTCAGCTTCTTGTCAGCTGGACTGCTGTGCTTGACTGCTGCTGTGCTGAAAATGCATAGCAATCTCTCTGGATGGGAGCGATGGGCACTGGATTCGTCCAAATTGGGATTCCCAAAATAAGCAGGATAAACAAACACAATGTAAACTATGTCAATGTAAGGCTAATGTAAGGGCTTACTATCAAAACCGGTACGTTAACTGCCTAAAACTCGGACCTATACCGGCAACGAGAAGATTTGGCAACACTTCCTGTATCTCGGAGGCCAAACTTATGTTTCCTGTGTCTACCGGCTTGGATGATCTGCATCTGGAAGTCCTGGAAGTTGAGCAACTTCCAAAAAAGGTGCAATCTTCGGCCCTCAAAAGCCCCCATAGCAGATGAATGCAGATGAGAGAGAATGCCATTTTCACTTGTTCTCTTTGCAGGGCTTAATTTGTGGAAGTGAACATTCTCCACGCAGCATAGGTGCTGGGAGCAAGTTCCGCCGGTTCTGGAAGATTTGGTGGGTCAGGTAATGTACTTGCAGGCCAATCAGGCCAGTGAGCTCTTCAAATCAATTCATTCATCATGCTTTCATTTATGGATTGCAAAAACACAACCAGCAGGTCAGGTTTCACCTTCTCTCTGCAAACCTTTCCTCTGTTCAGCATAATAATATATACTAAGACCAAGTTAATTCAAACAAACAGGGTCGACATGAAACTCAAACAACTGTCATTTGAAACAAGAAGAAGCCCGCAGATCTGGAAAACCACACATTGATTCTACTGAGAAGAAGTTCGCAAACACTCGTATTGCTATTCCCGTCTGCAAAACATAGTGTAGTCGAGACCCCTTCAAAATGATTTCACTCACAGTATCAGAGTGTTATTTCAACCATTGACGCATACTCTAGTGAAACCAGAAGGGGGCATGGAATGGCATGGAACTACACTCCAAAGCTCCAAAGTGGTAAATTTGAGCAGTCTGTGTATGCTTTAGTACTGCAAACATTTTTTTTATTGCTATTGTTGTTCTATGTTGTTATCTTTGTGGGCTTTGACATCATCACATCCAACATCTTTCCCAATACGTCCTGGCCCACCCGAAAACGGCGCTGCCGCAGCATCGCGGGTCATCGCCCATCGAATTCCTGGCGGCTGTTGTTGGCTGTGCCGACCTAGGTCAGCAACGAGTTGGAGGCTTTTCTATAAGGGGGACATCAGGTTAATATAGCGATATATTTGGAGTGCATAGAAACATAGGTAAACTGCAAACAGAATCCATTGTAATATGTAGTTTAAAATTGTAAGATGTATTACTGTATATTAATCAAACGATGTATAACACAACATGATGCAGTATGATAATGAAATATAATACAATATTACACAAATATAATCCAATTATTATGAAATGAAATACAATCCAATATCACATAATGAAATCTAATTCATTCTAATTCAATATCGCTATCGCCGCTATCTTTAAGCTTTAGGAATGCATGAAGCAACTAAGTTCTATATTATATCGTCTATGTTGGGTTTGACATACACTGGCACAGCTGGGCCTTTGAGTCATGAGGGTAAGCCGGGCCCAGCTACCACTGGGCCCACGGACGTATAAAAGTCCGCCCAGGATCTGTGCAACTGCTACAGGCACCTCACATTGAACCGGGAAAAGCAGGGAACGATTTGTAGATATGCGGAGCAACATCAGCCACTGCAAACAGTTTCGAACAAAGATGAGCAGCGCAAGTCTTTCAATGACTCTACTATCTCACTCTTTGTTGCTCATGTTCATCATGCCTTTGTCTGACATTGCACAGAGAGCACCAGCTAAATCATTCTCTGGACAACATGTGCGGTTTCTGTGTTACCCCATGCAGTTCTGTTGCAAGGGATAGAACGGTTTTAATTATTACGACACGAGGTAATTCAGTTCCTTTTTTCAGACTTCCGACTCTGAATATGAGACTGGCACGAACAAGCCCATAGAGAACGAACCGGTCTGGTCAATGAGATGACCGATGTATTCGATGACCGGGATTGGTGCGATGGCTCCTTGCATCATTTGTGGGATCTGGCATCAACAAGAGTTTTGATCTAACAATGTCGCTGAGAATGGCATTCTTTGAAGATCTGATCCAATCACACCTGTCATTTGGAAAGCATGGCATCATAGTTGGTCATGCACTTTCTGAAAACACATCACAGTTCAGAGAGAGAGAGAGAGAAACACGGCCAGGCGAACGTTGATGAATGGAGTATGTATGGTATGTATGAGTCTGCATATGTGGCACATATGTGGGGTCCATTGGGATCCATTCTTGCACTATTCTGCTTCTGCGTCCAATATTTCTTGGCCTTGAAATCCCGGCGCTGCGGCTCCTGCTGTTGAGGACAAAGCCAACAAGGCCTCAGTCCGTGGTGTTCATCCCAGGATTTCACCGGCCAACTGGGAATACTGAAGATTACTGAAGTTGCTGTCGAAACTTGAGAGACACTAATGACATTAAGCCTTATCATTAAGATTCATTAAGCACATTAAGCACATTTCAAATCGTTGAAACACCCAGGGAGGCTCTGTGGGATGGTCGGATTGGTTATCCGGCCACGACGCTGGGTGTCCATGCTCCTGCGTAACGAGGGCTGAGATCCGCATGATTGCAGAAAAGCCCAGCACGATCGCCGGCTTTTAGGGTGGTCGCTAAAATCAACAGGCCCACCTGGAGATGGTGGAAATGGATGGAAATGGATGAACATGGGGGAAACCCGGGAATGGCAACCAGTTGGCAATGCATCTGTATGATTCCATGTTAGCTTCTGGTATATGTTCTGGTTAGGATGACATGGCAAAGATCATTGTGGACCTCCTTACGCCATCCTAACAACTGACACAATGATATTCCAAACTCCCCAATGGTCCCACTGCTGCATCGCCTGTGCAACTACTCCTAGTGATGGTCCAATGGTGGCGTTCAGGATCATACAGATGGCAGGTCCGAAGAAGGCGATTCCTGCCAGCCATGGCTTCCTGGGTGACCTGCGTTTTGTGGAACTTGATCGGTGGTTTTCCCGTCCGAAAATAGTATTGTTATACATTGTTATATATATATATATTATATTATATAATATATATTATATTATATAATATGTAACATCAATTAATTGAACTAAACTAATAGATAAAAATTAACTTCAATGTACTGTATATATAATATATAATATATATCATATATAATATAATTATATAATATTATATATTATATATATATTATATATATATTATATATATTATATATATATTATATTATATATATATATCAGATTTGGGACATTGGTTTCATCTCCGGCCGGTGGGGATGGATAACTGAAAAATAGCACAACCAACAACCAGTAATCAGTGGTGGCAAACCATTCAAACTTCGAAACCTCAGACTCCGCCTGCAGCCTGCAGTATCCCGTGGTCCATTTCTCAATGAAAAACCCACTGTGGTTCCCAACTGTGGACAACGACATGTATCTAACTGTCTCACGCGGAGCCCTCCGTTTTTTCATCCCACCTTGAAAGAATTTCCTTAAAGTCGACAACTCCCAGCCTTAGTCAGCCACTGTAAAGGAAAATACTTCCAAAATAAGACACAAATCAATACAAATCATCAAATATCAGTGGATGTAGAGCAATCCTTGAGGTTCTGACCATCCTCCAAAAGCTTATCTGCAAGTTTACCCACTCCGAGGCTGGCAATAGCACCTGACATGCTGCCATGAGGCTTACTCTGTGGTCCGCGGAAGTCCAACATGACCGGCAGGGCTGATGAAGTCTTCCCCGGATCCACATTTCGAGATGGCCCAAGTTACCACGAAATCTGGGGATGAAAACCAGATGAAGTGCCCTTGAGGCTTTATGCTTTTGACGGAGGGTCCATGTGTTTTCAATGGGTTCGCCGGTTTCCCCCCTGCGTTCTGCGGCGCACCGAAGAGGTAGGGGAGGAAAGCACAAAAGCCGGCCAATTCGATGTTGAGACCCACTCCTGAGCCAATGGCAGTGGCAAGACTGCTCAGTGCGTCAGTGCGCGCAAATCTGGTTTGGACGAGATCCCTTTTCACACTTCTCCAGCCTTTCTTTGTTTAATCTTTTAAGGGTGTGATACACCTACCTGGCAGTCATTCAATTGGCATTCAGACGGTCCTCTGCTGAAGAAAGAGGGCATCCAAGTCAACAGTGCATAGAAAGCAATGTTACCTCGGCAGGTCCGAAATGAGTCAAACCTGAACAAGAATAAAAAAGACATGAATTCATTGAATTTTGTCTAGGGAGTACTTCTTCTATCTGAAAAACAGTTCATTCTCATCTCGTTCTCATCCATGTTCCAGTTCCAAGTCTTCTCATCGTGGATATGTCTGGCCAAGTCGCTCATGGCGTGACAAGCCACCACTGACCAAACAGCCGGGTTTTGCAAGATCTCTTCCCAGGGAACACTTCCTGCGGCTATCAACGTTAGGCCCGTTAGGCTAGTGCCCCAAGATTGCCCCAAGTTGTCGAGAATGTGCAGCTATGTGCAGCTGAATGTGCAAATGAAGCATGATCAAACGGTATCAAACTCGACCACAGCCACATTCGGGTTCTGCTGTGATGTCCCGATGTCCCGATGTCCCGGTTTCGTTTGGTCCTTCGGTGCTTTCGGACTTCTTGTAGCCCAGTGTTGGAGCCAGGGACATCCACCATCCAGTCCACAAAACTCCTACCAGGCCCCACCAAAAATGCGGGTGGCGAATTGGGTCATTGAGTACCTCCAAAATGGGGTGGTTTAGCTGCTAAGTTAGCTTTTGAAATCATAATATCACAATATCTGGGTTGGCCTGGCCTCAATAACATTGCGGAGTGTTTGGTGGGCTGAAGTCGCATATCCATGTATCCAATCCCTGTTTGTAGATTGGTTGTTGGCATCCAACAATCTCCCATCCAGGTTCATAATTGCATCCCTTTCCCCATCGCACCTGCGGCTGCAAAAGCCCAAAAGATGAAGGGCCAACCAAATTGACTGGGCGTGGCTGTGATGAATTCACCACGCGAAAGAACATTACAAAACAAACTGATCAACTGAGAAAGCTGTCACTGTAATGCCTTCAACATCCTCCAACCTGGTACAGTAGTGATACCCAATGATCGGGTGCTGAAACTGTACGTAGCGACAAGCCGACCAAGATTGCCAAACATGGCAAGAACAAAGTCGTTGCTTCTGAGGCACTCGATCAGGAAAGGGCAAAGCAACAAGCCCAAACCGACACCTGGCAGGGTTGGACTGACATCCTTGGTCATCATGGAAACAGCTGGGGACCCTACCTTGCCTACTCCTTACCTGCAACTTTGGGGTCATGTTTCTTTCCGGAGGAACCATCGCTTTTCGGATAGCTCATCTTCCATTCCGACATCTACCAACACTCAGACAGGAAGTTGCAGCTTAGCCCTGGAGATTACCCAAGCAAAACTACCAAGATCGTCAATGAGACTTCGTCAGAAAGGAGAGACTGAAGCCTATCTGCAGTTGAATGAGGCAGGGTAGCAATGTATCCGTGATGTTTAAAGCACTATCATGTGTATAGCACGTACACCAGCAAGATACCAAGAATCATGCAAGTATTTGGAACATATTGGAACTACTTCGTGCTTCAACATGCCGATGACATCCTATGCTCTCTCGCACACGACATTTTTTGCAGGTGGCCTGCTGTGGAACCTGCATAGACCTGAAAGGTTGGCAATGACAACATATTTCAACATAGTCTACTAATAGTACTCGCAGAATTCTCGCAGAATTCTCAGAGTACTTTGCTTACCTTTGCTTTACAAATGGCGGCTCCGAGGCTCCGAGGTGTGTTTGAGATCCCCAGCAGTGCTTGTCCCAGAGGATCGGCGAGAATCAGGCAGGGTGCCTGCGCTCAAAAGGTGATCTCGTTACCAAAAAAAAACCACTCCCATGGCCCAGTGAAATGTCTTGTGTTATAAGATGTTCCAAGTTTAGAAACTCTGAAAAGTATTCAAAAGTCAGTTAAATACGTCTCTCTTTTCTTCAATTTCTCCTTCACAGAATGTTTACAGTATGGGGTTTGCCTGAGCATAGGCTATATACCCAGAAATCCACTCTTCCCATGGCACCTAAGGATGCCCCAACAGCTGGAACGCCCAGACCTGGCGATACATATTGATATCTATTGAATCTATTGAATCTTGGTTCGTAAAGAGTTGCAGGAAAAAAAATCATCCATCTATCGAGACTCTATTGGCCACTACATGCAAGAGCAAGAATCGACACGCCGAGTGCTGATTGGTTTCAATCAAAGTATCTAGCATATGCCAGTCATCTATGGCCATCAAAGAGTCCAAACGACTGTTGGACGAGGGACAAATCAATATCATTCATCCATAGCTGCTAGATATTATAGCTCCTTCATCCTCCGGGAAATTCCTGCCGGATGTTCTCCTAGTTCAGGGCTCTAAACACTTGTACAACCCGCAAGAATCAGAAACAGCTTCATACAGACATCAAACTAAGGAACCTCTTTTACTTCCTCCTTTATATACAGTACATAGCATTACACTACACTACATTTGATATCGTTTGATTACATTGTTTACATTTGAATTACATTGATTACATGTCATTGGATTTCGTTACATTTCATTAGTTACATACATACTTGCAATTCAGCATCAATCCAATGAGATGGGACCACGTTCAAAAAAGGCAGCTGCATCTTTCCTGCCTTCGCCCAGGCCAACTAGAGCCCGACTCAGGCAAAGCAACCAAAGCGCTGCCTGGAGAATCTGGAGAGGCTGGAACCCTATGGAACCCCAAGAAATGGCTATGTTGTTACATCTGAACATGAACATTTTTTTGGGGTCCATGTCGCTGTTGGGGATGGTATGGATGTTGCGTGGATGGTTGGACGTCGTCATATTAAGTTGGATGGCCAAGGATACTTCAGTCACGGGTTAGATGCGCCATGTGGTTTCATTCTTTAATGGTACACAACAGATGTGGCAAAACATCTGAACCTGGCATATCTATAGCTATCTTTTGAATTCTCACCATCCTCACATTGACATCCTTTCAAGCTCTGTCGACATGATGTTGTCCCCCACGAATTTGGCAAGTAAATACGCTGATTGTCAGTCTGACTGATTGTACTAAAGAATGAATGACCAAACAATTTCTGATCCAGCCTGGATTTTTCCTGAATTTCGGAGAATATTCCGAAACTAACACAATCCAAAATCTGTATCCGTCCATTTGACCATCAAACAAACCTGGCCTGCGAATCGCTGAGGTATTGCAAACATGCGGTGCCCATGGTTCCCAGGGACTGAATGGCGACGCCCACAGCCAAGACAGTGAAGGCACCACCAGGCCTAGGGGACGGATGGGCAGTGCAACAGGTAGTATGAGTCCCGCAAGTGGTGAGATGATGACTTTCACTCAGTCACTCGCCGCGTTCGTACATCTTGGCAGTGAATCAGTCCAAAGTTTCCCCAGGAATTCCCCAGGAACATGTTGTAACCGCACTGGATGTTTGCAACGTCCCAACAAAAATCGCCGCCCCTTGGTCCCAAAGGTGTGCCCCAATGGTGGGATCGATCCAAGGAGCACGTTCTGGATCAGCATGGCTCCGGGAAGCTGAGTCAGCATCTGGAACGAGCTTGGAGATGCATAGTAATAGTTGTATGTATAGTTGTTTCATGCTCACACTCATAGACACCAGGACACACTCACTACATGCAAGAAACACCAAAAATGACACAACATACCTCTTCCGTGTACACCACTTCAGCAGTTCCACATCAAAACAACGAACTCCTTGTAATTCAATGGCGAATCAGTCTGAGTATCTGGCGTAGCCCCAAAAGAAACTGCTGGATGCAAAGCCCACATCTGCCTGGCTTGAGACGGATTGGATGATCCTTGAAGTTGGGAAATTGGAAGTGTAATTGGTAAAGAAATGAACCACAAATATATATATATATATATATACGTAAACACACATAAATATATATATATGTATATAATACATATCTAATATTTATATCCAGAAAAAATATATATATACACACATTTTATACAAATATTTCTCAGGTGTCAGATTTTTTTCTTCATTCCCAGGAGCGCTTAGCCGCTTTCGCGTTCTCAGTGGCACCTCGGATAAACCAAAACGATCCTGGATGGGAAGCACCGCCACTGACAGGTTCACCTGGCGTCGCGTCTAGTGTTCCCCTCTCGCAACCACGCTCCACATGGATCATATGGATTCGTGACATGTTCAATTTCTTTATGTTACGTCATGTATTATTCTACAATATTCATTAATGTTCTATAATACTCCATAATACATGATATAATTTGTGAAATGACGTATTAATTTGTATATTATTCTATGATATCCTATAATCATCTATAATCTATATTTGTTTTCGATGTTTTCGTTGGGAAAGCAGCTTCTGACACCCCCCGACACATCATTCGCAAATCCATTGGCAAATATCAGCATTTCATGGCACTTTTGTGTTGTTGAGCATCCATTCCAACCTTGTCCAAATCACACAGGGCATAGGAAAGGAAGAGTCCCAACCTGGGAGTCGAGCCGAAGGAGAGGAATTGTGCGGGTGGCCCATTATATACTTGGATGATCTTGGGTGATCATTCCAACTAGTAAATGGTTCGTAGTTGAGTTCCTATCCAACTTTTTGATGCGATAACCACCTCTGAGGCAAAGCACACTAAGAGCATCCACTTCTGCGCATCTTCCGGACCTTCATCGTGTGGGAAGGTCTGAACACGTTGGAACAGCTAATCTGGTGTGGTGGAATAGTAGAAACTCCCATGGGCATTGCCATGCAAGTTGTGAGCCCTGTGGGCTTTGCATCAATATGCTTCTTTGAATATTGTGCTTTGTGAGCTTTCTAAGCAGAATTCCTGTTTCTGAAGCAGCAGTCGATAGTTGATGATATTTGATGGTTGATCAAGACTCCTTTATCCGCAAACGGCCATTCTTCGCGAATAAAAATGTTACTTTCGCGAAACTTTCGCTTTTTCTTCCGAGGGGCCCATGTTGGGCAACAACGCCTCTTATGAAGATTCGTTCACCACCTGCCAAATTACGCCAGAGAATCACGGATCACTTCTTGACAGCCTTTTTAAACATGCAGCTAGCATCACGGAATCCCTTCTCAGGGCATCTCAGGGCAGATGGTTGCTGACTAGGATTTTTTTTTGCAAGGTTTGCTGACTCACCCCCTTCAACATGTACTTTGACTTTCGCCCGCTCCTTCGCAGAACTTTCGCGAACATTCGGGAACATATCCCTATTCACAGACCCCGGCCATCAGCAGGGGGCGTATTGAAGGAAAAGGGAACACCAGGGGCCTTGGTGATTGGCTCTCGCAAAGCATCACTTTTGGAAACTTGGCTGCTGCGTTTGGAGCTTGTTTCTCGAGACTTCAAAAAGCATCATTAGGGAGTGACAGCGGCAGGTGCAAGGATGTGCTTCAGGACCATGGTGCTTGGCTGTCGCGAAGCCTCACCTTTGGAAGCTCGGCTGCTAGCTATGAAGGGCAAGGTGATTGTCCAAAAGCACCACCACACAGGGAACTGAACCAGAACCAAACAGAAATTCTCTGGTGCCCTTCTCCTGCCGGAGCCCGGGCGGCAGTGGGTGGCAGCCCTTTATATCATGATTATAATATCCAACTTTCGCGAAACTTTCGCGACAACAAATGTTACTTTCGCGAACTCGAAAAAAACTTTCGCGAGGGTTTCTAACATAACATGCACGGCTTTCGCAATTAAAACTCCTTACCAGGACCTTTAGATCGATCACCATTTGTATCCACAGGCGTCGCCCAAACATGTCACCATCTCCCGGTGAACATCCGCCCAAACAGCGGTCCCACTTTCGGATGGTGCTTTGGAGCTTTCGGAGATCGTCCTGGAGAGCTGTGCAACCGATCATGTCTCATTTCAATAGATTCTAGAATGGGTATTCAAAGATGTTCCATAAGTTGATGTTCATAAAACACAACACCAACCAACATAAACTGGAATCTCAATACTCGGCTTTACTATATGGTTTATCGATCTAAACCAAGAATAGAAAACTGAAAAAATAACATAAAATAACTACCACTGTAGCAAAAAATGATCTAAACTGCCAACCAATCATAGAAAGCAGAAGTCTAGCTGTAAGGACACCCAACATAATTCAACATCTTCCAGCTATCCCAGCTTTCCAGCTACACTAGTGGATTGCCATTGACACCCAAACAACCGTTTTCCAAGACGCTCCAAGTTGGATCACATCTGTCCTGTCAATGGCAATCTCCTCCCGCACCAGCAGGTCCGAGCCGGCATGCGATGGACGAGCTACCGTCGCCTCACCTATCGCTGATGTAAAGTCAGCTGGATTTTTTTTTGGGAGCCACATGGGGAAACCATGAGTTGATCGCTGGTTGACCATGTAGACCATATTTTGTTTGGTTTAATCATTTTTTTTCATGCATGTCGATCTGTCTTGATGGAAAACCTGTACAAGTTGCAGCACGTGTTTCCCTGCCCCGCCTTCGCGAGGGCTTTGAGTCTTGCTGGTAAGGCCTGAGCTGGTGTCAGCCTTCCATGTATGGTCATGGATGGTCCAAGAATCCACACATATGTGATATCTCCCTTGAACACTTTGGAGGCCCCTTCATGTCAAGAAATCCATCCCTGTGACATCGCCAATACTAGTAGTTTGATTTAATCTGTATCTCATCTTCAGCCGCATCGATAACTGCAATAACGCCCATTCTGGCTGTATAGCTGGCTTTGTGTTTCTCATGCTTCAAGAAACCAACAGGCTTTATCAATGGGCTACGCCAAAATCTCGTGGTTGATCGTCAATTGTCCCATTGAAATTGCCTGTGACAAAGCCAACAGCTGGGGTCCTGGCCCGGTGGCACGAAAGCCTGAGTGCTGAAGGATCTGATCCAAACACAGCTGGGATTCTGCGGTTCTGTGCCAGCCACGCCTCAGAAAAAAGTCCGCAGCAAAGCAGGAGCACGACAGGAAGCCTTGGCTCGGCACATCACTGACCGACCCACTGAAAGTCATAGATCGGACACCATTATAGAAATGATGGTGGAGCTGCATGTGAACCCCCAAATCCCTTCCGATTGAAATACCCAAATTCTATGAAATTCTAGCATGACCCAAAAATTATCAACCCAAAGTCTGTCAGCTAAATAAATCCAAATAAACGATGCTTCCATACAAAATATACAAAGCTGAGAGCGGCACCATCTTCTTCTCCTTAGCATCTTCAACCCAGCGCCCCGCTTCATCGCCACGTGCAACGCGCGCAGCGGTCGGCTCGCACTGGAGTGCAACTGAAGAGCCATGGGGCTGGAAAAAGCAAAATGGCTTGAAGCCTTTTGACAGTTCATGGATGACATGGATGGCATCTTCTACATCTGACTTATACCATCTTACACCATTAGTATAACATATGCACATGAGTTCCAATCATATATCGGCTATCATATCCGATGTTTCCCTGTTTGAGTTGAGAATTGCCTGGGTTTCATGGTGGTCATTTACAAACGAGCCGTTGAATGCGCTGTTGGAACTTGACAATGTTGGCTCGAGCGCAGAATCTCTGCAGTGATGTGGGGCGTGTCCAGGTGATTCCAGGTGCGTATGATTCTCCAACATATACATATATATAGTTGTATATATATATATATACATATATATATATATACATGGTTGTCCACTGTACCCTTATGACATGTGGATCCTAAAGTCCTAAGGGCATCATATCACTCAAATGCTGTGCACGTTATATTGGTCTAATCTTAGTACATTTGCCTTAGAATCTTAAACAATACCAAAATGGAGCAATATGGATCATGGTTGCCCAAACCTCGTGGACCAGCACATGTCAGCGTTGTCAGCGATGTCATCGTGCCAGCCTGAGAGGCTGGGAAGAGGCGACTATCCCTAGCCATTGCAGGAAGATCGGATTGAACCAATTGCTGCTAGGGTATACTGGGTTGGTGTGTATATATATATAAATACATTATATATAAATACATTATATATAGATACTTTATATATAGTAATACATTATATAATAATACATTATATATAATATAATATAATACAATATAATATAATATAATACAATATATTACAATATAATATAATATAATACAATATAATACACTAAATTTATAATATAATATAATATAATATAGTCTGATACAATATGATATCATATTGTATTATATTAAATCATAATTATATTATACTGTATGATATGATATGATATGATATAATATTACGGCCAGGCGCCTTGTGTTGCCCGGAAGTTTACAGGGACGTTCCCGGCAAATTTCATGATGATGATGATGATGATGATTGAAAATCTTCAATGAATGTAGAAGTTCCACGGGGTGGGAAAATTAAACCCTTATTGAGGATCTTCAATGAATGGAAGATTTTAACGGGGGTGGGAGAATTAAACCCTTATTGAAGATCTTCAATGAATGTAAGAGTTTAATGGGGGTGGGAGAATTAAACCCTTATTGAAGATCTTCAATGAATGGAAGAGTTTAGCGGGGGTGGGAGAATTAAACCATTATTGAGGATCTTCAATGAATGGAAGAGTTGAACGGGGGTGGGAGAATTAAACCCTTTTTGAAGATCTTCAATGAATGGAAGAGTTTAACGGGGGTGGGAGAATTAAACCCTTATTGAAGATCTTCAATGAATGTAAGAGTTTAACGTGGGTGGGAGAATTAAACCCTTATTGAAGATCTTCAATGAATGGAAGAGTTTAACGGGGGTGGGAGAATTAAACCCTTATTGAAGATCTGCAATGAATGGAAGAGTTTAACGGGGGGTGGGAGAATTAAACCCTTATTGAAAATCTTCAATGAATGTAAGAGTTTAACGGGGGTGGGAGAATTTATATGAGATGTATAGTGTGAACAAAAATTCCTTGTAATTTACGCTATTCTGGGCTTGGGCAACACAAGGTGCCTGTGGGTAATATTATATTATATTGTATTATATCATATTATATTTTACTATATGATATGATGTGATATATAATATATGTATTATATACTATATATTGTAATACATATTTTCGACATTGTGTTTAGTGGATATTGACATCAGAAACAAATACCTTGAAGGCATCAAATGATGGAACACAACCAAGAAACGCGTTCATTCTATAGCTTTGTTTGCCATGGAAGATACATGTCACACGTCCATAGTCAGTTGAGGCTCATAATCTCGAGACTTCCTTGCCAGTGATTTCCAGATGCACGAAGTAGTAGCCTACAAACAGCAAATGAAGCAGGACTATGTGACGGCATTGGTAACGAGGTAAAAACTGCAGTTCGCTGAGGAAGAAGGAGAATCAGAATCCAAAAGGTCGCAATTAATGAGAAGTAATGTGACGGACCAAGTATTGCCGGTCTGTTTGGGCAGAGCGAGTACTGAATGCATTTCAATGCATTTCTGAACAGGGGCTGCTACGAGTACGTGCTACCTGCTGTATTTTGGCAGCAATTGCGGTGCTTTCCTTTCTTCCAGAGAACGCTTCACCACTGTTGAGATGAGTCTTTTATATCCGAATCCCCTTGGCAGGAAAATCATGCTCAACACCGGCGGGTTGGCTCTTGACACTTCGCAAGCCCTCTCCTATCATGACACTTCAGTTCTCATATTATGCTCATTGGATTATCGACGGACGTCCCAATGTCTCCTCTTGGTTGCACTGTTTGGCTGCAAAGCTAAAGATGGCCTCAAATCGTATTGCCGAGACTGTTCTCATTGGACCTTTCTGACTCTGACTGTCTTCCCTTCTCCGAGACATCACCACTGTCCGGTGGAGCCACAACATATTTTCCAAACCAATGTGGATGCAGTGGATGCAACTTTGATACCTCAACTTTGGGGCCCCCACATTCGCACCACCAGTGCCAATGCTTCTTCCCATTTCTTGGACTCAACCAACGCGCCTAAGCCTTGGGATGCACAGGAACAACTGGTGTAATTTTTGGAAGCAGTTACAATGCCATGTGACACAATGGCCTTCCAAAAACTACCAAAACCACCTCACCCTTCTCATATTCTCCGTGGCTCTTTGAGCTGCTGGTGGATTTGGCAACAGGATTGAAGAATGCACTGTTGTATGTGCTAAATCCCGGTGCCTAATGCCTAATCAACACAAAATATCCTGAACTGCTCTATCCCATCATACTGTGGGATAGAAAGAATCGACACTTGAAAGGATAGGATTGATGAGTGATGCAGCTTGAAATCCGCATCTGTCTGTCTCAAGATGGGGGAGACTCCAAATTAGCAATTTAACCGTTGGGAAAAGTGGTGGGTATCATTATCTTTTCGGAAACCTAACAACGCGAAGCGACCTTGATATCACCACGGTTGAAAAATCAGATGATCCGCTGCCGGCGCCAAGTTACATGGGTTGAAGGCAGCGATATCTGGCCATTGTCCGACATCTTGCATCTCCTGGGGTACGCAGAATCGATATGAATCTATTAGATCCTGGAAAACATCGCTTCTCACTCCAAGTCCGTGGGTTCGGGGGGTCCTCAATCTTTACTATTATATTAATTATATTATAATATATTATGTATTGATTATCATAGAGTTTCATTCAAGTGATGGACAAAAAATCTCACACCTTGTCTGGTTGGTGGCGTCAGTTGGGATCAGATCCCGTCTAAAACATTCTCAAACCATCAACCATGCATATTCCTTGTTAGTATAACCTTGGATATCCCCATTATATCCCATTATACTGACATTGGTATAATGATATTTATTGGGGTTATACCATTACAATGGGTTATATCCCCATTATATACCATTATATCCCAACCTGGGGATAACTATTATATTTAGTATAATAGTATAACCCCAGGTATCCCTTACTCCTAGTGTTGGAGAACTTGCTGGATCCTGGAAGAGCAACATCGCCTGCTGCCAGTGTGTGCCCAGTTGACATGCCTTCAATGCTGCGCTGTAGAGTACCTGCTCCGCTCTGTTGAAACACCGTTTTTTTTGGTTGAAACAACCAGCAGCTGTGACATAGACATCTTGAGATCATCAAACAATCATAAATCAAAAAAAACCTTAATGTTTCATATTCGATATATTTCACACATTCCATAGAGTGCCCATTCGCAGCTGAGAACCCACAAAAACGCACCAGATTGACAGAGCTCTGGCCATTTCGAAGCAAGTGGTACAGTTCCAAGGCCTTCCAAGGGGAAGCAGATCAAACAGAGGACATATACGGACATATGATCACATAAAATGTCAGCCCTTTATCTCATTTCATCATGTCATCGTTCATGAGGTTCATCTCCTTTCCAGAGTGTTCACTTAATGAAGTCATTGGCAAATTGGCTATTTATCCCCCACGTACATAAACTTTAATGGGGAAAATCATCAAACTCCCCATGACGCGCCTTCAGCCACTGCCTGCTGCGGTTGCAGGAGGTCACAGTGGTGGTATAGGACACCACATCCTTGTCCGGTCTTTGCGGAGAACGGATGATTGGATGGAAAAACCTCCAATATAGTATAAGAAGCAATTGATTAATACACTTATTGGTTATATACAATGGTTATATACTCTTATTGAATTAATTACGATGATTACAATATGACCCATAGTATATAACGATAGCTAAAGAATTATTCATGGAGTGTAGATAACTATATGACATTATATGACTAACAAAAAACGTATCCCACATCATGGATTACGATGATCCCATCTAGAGTGCTCAGCATAACCCCCTTTTTTCACCCATCAACCAAGGGCCAATTGGTCACTGCCCAGTGGTGCCCAGTGGCTGGCTGAAAGCTGCGGTGCTCCATGTCTTGAATCAGTTGACAGGCCATTTCCCACTGGTGTCCCCGACCACAGGCACTCAGGGCCTGAACGCAGCCAATGCTGTCCAATCTTCAAAGGAGCATTGGCACTTCTGCCAATCGAGCCAAGTTGACTAAGTTGAGCTGAGGCACTGAGTTCATCGCAACCAAGCTGACATGCCTCAGATGTCGGCGGGATAAGGTCTGGTCAGATCCATGCTGACCCACTGAAAGGATCTGAGAGGAACGATGAGGGATAGTACAAGATCCGTTTTCACAGAAATTTTCTGCCAAGACCTTCTGTGGGTACCATGAGGCGTTGGCAACTCCATCAACGCTACGGTAACTGCTGCAAAGGCTCTGAGGCATGTCGTGAAGCAAGGCACAAGCCTCATGAAGACCATGATATCCATCCCATCCTATCCTGTTCCATATCCCATGCATATTCAGGCTTGTCCAAATTGCCAAAACTAGGGCATCCCAAAATCTCATGATTCAGCAGCAGCACACCACAAACATGGCCATTGATTTTGTTAATTACCTCCATTTATAGATGCTTCTTACGTTTTAAAAATATCCTGATCATTATCCCCATTGTTTATGCTTAGCTCCCACACCATACCCCCATACCAGTACCATCAAATTGGATCAAATAAACTAAAAACATCTAAAAACAAACATTTTTGTTGGCAAAAAAAAGCCTTTTTCAGATGTTCATTCTTTTCAATAGTGAAACCACCCATTTGTGATACATGTTCGACATCTTTGTTATATCGTTAAACCATGTCAAGCCGTTTAAAGCAACCTTTTTTCATCAGAAAACCATCCAACGGTCCGCCCTTGGGGTCCGACCCTTTCCCACTGATGGCCCCTGTCACAGGCGCTGATCGCAGCTCCAAAAGTCACCTAAAAGTGGTGGTGGTGGTGGTTCTCACATGGGAAAAACCATGGCTTCGCCTCAATGTGGATGTGGTAAACTGGCGAAATCATGGCTTCATGGATGAAGATGGTGATTCTGGATGGGTTTTGGGGATCCTTTTGTGATATAAAAAATATGTCTGGGTTCATCTGTGATGATTTTATGCCCTAGAATAATTACCAGCATCTAAAGAAAACACAAGACTGAGCTTGTGAAATAGGCAGAACTGAGCAATCCCTCTAGCATCCTTTTGCTAGTGTGGTTTGATACCTCTGACGGTAGGCAGTTAGTAACCAAAGTATAACCCAATTCTGAGTGGGACAAACCCCTCATGTTTTATATTATCCAGTTCAGCACTGTGATGCACATCTAATTGCAACTTCCAAATCCAATGATAAATGATATATCGAATTGTATCCAATTGTATATCCATTGTACCATATTGTTGATGGTTAAATCATGTTAAATTCACATTTCTGTCGGTTTAAGTATCCCAATCACCATTCCGCAATGTCTGAACCGGGACCACATCGCCTCATCCGCACCCTCCATGTGCTGCAGCACAGCAATGGCTTCTGGCCACCGCGCTGCGCGTGCCATGGCACTCACCACGCTGCTATAACTCACCACGTCAGCTGCTAGCATCACGTGATACCTGGGCACCGACAACAGCAGACTTTCAGGCCGTGGTAGGGCAGGTTGGTCTCTACCAGAGCTATATTGTATATATATATATATACACAATATATACATACACATACATGGCGCATCAATCATCATTCTGATTGACATCGATTAGTTGGGGGTATCCTTCACTTATTGCCAGCATCCTGCAGCTGAGTGACAGGAGTTCAAGAGCCAGTTGCCACTGGCCGCAATGATCCAATGAACTCCTAAAAAAACAGAAGAGTGTAAATGGATGAAATCTGAAATGGAGAAGTTTGCAGTTAGCTTTTTTTCCGATGGTGTTGCGGTCGTTTCACAGTGCTTCAATCCTGCTCATGTCCGAAAGGAACAGCACAGTTAAACACAGCATTATGATGCATTATCCAATCCTACGTGTGGATGTCTCGTCATGAAGAAAGAGTCCAGCAATGCTCAAGGAACATCGTGGACCTTCCAATAATCAGGCAAATATTCTACTAAAAACACGACACTTCCTTCTTCGCATTCCAATCCGAGTGTCAGAACTGCATTTGCTGTCTCTAGCCTCTCGAAACCTGTGCGTGTGATTGGATAAGAACGAAATCATGCAAGTCATGCGACAACTGGGATAACAAACGAACATATCGGACAAATCTGGAAGTTATCACCGCACTTTACACAAAACAAACAATGAAACTGGTATCAACACATATGAAATCCTGAAGCAACCAAGTGGCCAAGTGGAATTTTGAACTGTAGAATCGCCAAAGCCAAAGCTGATTTCTAGCTGATTTAGTGATGGATTGGTCAATTCACAATTGCCTCACTTCCAGCTTCCAAGACTCGTAGGTTTCGGGAACAGTCAATCAAAGCGTAAACAAACAATCTTTCAATACGACCACGGCTGCAACCCACAGTCGAAGTGGTGGTGCACTGACGATTTTTGATCACACTCAAAGTGTGATGGAAATATAGGCCATTGACCCTTGACCTGCAAGAGTCCTAACGAATGCAACAGGGATATCTCTTCAGAAACTGAGAAGTTCTGCATCTCAAAGCAATTTTTCCCCAGTTTTTTTTCCCATCTTCCCAAACATCCCCAGCTCGCCCCGCGACTCCACCTGTTTCCATGGCCAGCTGCAGCGCCCTCTGCCACTGGCGGCCCTTAGCGCAGGCCGAGGTGGCCAGACCCAGGAAGCGCTCGTCCAGCGTGACGTGCTGCGACCACTCGCCATGGAGCTGGAGGACCTTCGCCAAGGGAAGACACCATGTTTTTTTCTAAGAAAAAAGGGGGGGGGTCTTAATGTTAACTTAATGTTAACTTGTTGACTTAACATCATCCATTCTTGAACTTAGTTGCAACAAAATGCAACAAATTGATTGCTAGAAATTAAACAAGAAGGTAGAACAAATGATGATGAACATAGCAGGGAATTTGAATTTGATCTTTTTTGAGAGAGCCGCGTTTTCCACTGGATCCCAAAGCCATGGTTCAGTGGCTTGCTGTACAAGCTGCGCCTCCTGCTGTCGTGCTCCAAGCCCCCGAGGTGCCACTAGAATTGTCGGGCTGCTCCATGGGACAACGAAATACGACACTTTCCACCCTCAAAGCTCCCAGGAATTCTTGTTCTGAACGAATCATTCTTTCCAATGCCTGAGCTTTTTCCCTCAGAAGCTTCAGCTTCTGCCTCAACTCCCAGACTTTGCGGTGAGCCTCAATCGTGGTTAGGCTCAAGGGCGTTGCAGTGATCGGACACAGCCCTGGAAGATTGAACTTGCCACACTTCTTCACCTCTCTTGTGCCAATCTCAGCCAAATTGTTCAGGGCATTGGAGATTTCCAATTTCTTGAACCCAATTGCACTGGCCAACTCGTCAAGGAGGGCTCCCTTTGTCATGACATTTTGAAACCTTCATGGTCTTGACAGGATTCTTCATCAGAGGGCCTTCATGGGCTTCGTGTTGGTCTTGGCCTGCATGTTCTTCTTGGCCACAATGGCTTTCATGGCCTTCATAGCCTTCGGGACCTTTATCGCTGGGGCCATGATGTTGGAAAGATCACCAAAACGAAGAGACAAATGAAGCTAGCTTGAGCCAAATTCCCCTAACGGACGTGTCTAAACGCTGGATCCCTGACCTGATTCTGCAATATTCTACATCATCTACATCCCAATTCACTTTAATATCTTTAATTTGGGGATTCACTTGGGATGGATATGAGTTTGAAGACAGATTTCGGCACGGATTGATGGAGGTGGAAGCCACTTTGTGGGGGGAGAATGGGTGGAGATCCATCTGAAGGCACCCAGCCCAGGGCCTGCTGCCATGCGCTAGCCCGTTCCAATGCACCGCAGAGCGCTGTCAACAGCTTCACGTCAGGAGCAAAGCCACCGCCACTGGGGCCGCGGGCTGAATCTTGAGCTCTAGGATCATGATAGGATCGAACATGCTCGAATTGTAGAAAGAAAACCATCCTTTTAAACGGATATAAACGGATCGGCGATTAAAGCATGAAGGAACTCCGACTTCAAAACTTTCTTTTTAGAACTCTTAGAACTTGCGTTTTGTAAAACGCTTCGGTTTTGAGTCGGTATTTGTTTTCCCCGACACAGCAGCGCCTAACAACTTCTAAGGCTTTCTCCCATTGCTTCTGCCGCCCCAGGGCCACCACCCTGGAGGTCCTGAGAAGCGTTTGGACCTTGGAAGACCTTGGAAGGACCTTCAGTTGGAGACCTGAGCTTCCAAAGAAAACTCTGCAATTTTTCTCCGATACAGTAAATATGTATTAACTATGTAAATATTGATAAATAACAAGCTAGTATGCTGATAAACAACAAGTACATACAAGTACAGTTGGAAATGGGAAGACAGTTTTTGTTGAAGGCGCGTGAGGCTTCAGCAGCTCTTCTCATTTCGGACAAGGATCTGGTGCCGCAGCCTCTGACGATCTTTGGAACCTTGCAATGGTCGTGGGGATTGAACTTGATCGGCATGCTGACCACACCCAAGGGATCTGAAAGAAGCCCCCGCAAGTCTAGACAAACACTGTACAACCTCCTCACACTTAACTCAAATCCAAGGAAAAAAAATGACATGGTAAAACTGGCTTTGGAATTTGGCCACTCTAGGGATTCCAAACATTTCCAAACATTTCCAAACTCTATCAGTCTATCAGTGGACACTCTTAGAACAGCGCTTGGTAAGTTCCTGGTGGAGAACTTGCGACACCTACCGGATTCGAGCAGATTCTGCTGAGCGCACTGAAGCTGAGTACATTCATATGTTGTAGGTCTCATCACTGTTTTCCTTCATTTTCCTTCTTCCATATTTTTCTGCAATAATAATCTTCTCAACACCGACCACATGCAGCATGACAACTTGCTCCGAGTTGCGATTGTGACAGAAGAATAATCACCATGAGCGGATCCAATCTCAGATAGACAACTTGTATCTGCGAGCACGTCTTCTCCTCAAACTCATTATAATCACATATAATAACATATAATCACTATCATGACCTTCTTCGCCAAAGATCCCTGCTCCAACAAGATTAATCTTTGTTTTTCAGGCCATCAATTGTACCCGCCTGACACGGGGAATTTGTAGTCCCAGCATTTACCCTGCCCTGCCTGTGTCTCCATGCAGCGAGGCCACGATCTGCGGATTCTGGGGCGACCCAATTTGAACCGCATCAGGAACGGACCGATGAACGGTCCATAGGGCCACCATAGTCTATCCCGGTTTTGGTAAACTATGGTAAACTTAAACACACTTTTCCTGGTGATGGACACCAAAGCTTCGTTGTCTAATATACGGGTCAATGGGAAGGCAGATCAACACGAACCATATTTGGGAAGTTCTAGCCTCTTCCAGAAACCTGCAACCAACTCTCTTGACACGTGCGCAGTACATGGTGTGCCTTGCGAGCCTTTGCTATGATGATTTTCCATGCATTCCAGTTATTGGGAATGTTCATTGCCGGATTTGATCAACAGGATATGGGGGTGGACTGAACAATTGCGCTGTCGCATCGCATGTCCCATCTGCCATCACCCACCTGCCGCATGTGCCATCCAACGGGCCGCTCCGAATTGATGGGCAAAATCCCCAGCCACCCCTGTAGCCCATTTCGGCTCTAGAAATCAGAAGCCTGGGCCCCCTTAGTCACTTTTCTGCCACTCTTTCTCCCTCTTTCTCGCTCTTTCTTTCTCTCTCTCTCTCTCTCTCCCTCTCTCTCCCTCTCCCTCCCTCCCTCCCTCCTTACTCTCC